TGATCGGTGAGCGGGAGATGAGGGGGCTGATAACAGGTCACCACGGCGATGTCTCCGTACCTGCGAGTACGGATCGATACGGCGGCGGCTTCCATGTTTTCTAGCTGAGGAACCTGCAACATATGGTGATCTATACCTCTTTTTACGAGCAGGGCCACGCCTCCTCCGTATCTGTTTCGGTCCCTGCGATACATTAGATAGCCAGGAATCCTAACAGTGTATGCGTCCTCTACTTTGGTTTCTTATATCGCCATCACGTCCACGTCTAGACGAGGCAAGAGCTCCTTGAGTTCGATTTTTTGCCCCCGGAATCCGTCAACATTCCAGGAGGCAATTCTGAGGGACTGCACACTAGTCGGATGGTCCATTTACTCCTGTAACAGAGATGGCATTTTACTGAAAAAAGCCGACATCGCGAAGTACATCTCCCGCATTTGTGCCAGCATACTAGTCACATTTGCGGGTTCCGTGCTCCTGTCGGTTTTGGGCCCTCCCTTGGTTGCCGCGGCGGGGCCCTGCTTTGGCCTGGCGGCGTCGGCGAAGCTTTTCGCCGCCGTCACCTTCGGGGGGTGTGCCAACTTAGCCTGTTGTTTGTCGGCTTGGGGGTCATCTTTGCGCTGCTGCTTCTTGCTCCCTGTCGTCTTTTTAGGGAAGCAGTTGGCGCACTTTGCCGGGGTCTCGCGCTTCTTATTGCAGTCTGCCGAGTGGTGACCCTCGCCGCACTTCACACACTTGACAGCTGTGGTGCAACGGCTCTGCGCGTGACCGAAGCGCTGGCAGCGATGGCACTGCGTCGGCTCGGTTCTCGCCCTCTGCGGTTCCACACTGACGACTAGGTGGCAGCATCTTGTCACCTTGAGCAAGTCCTCTTGCTCCTTGGGGACTTGTACAAGTACTAGAGGCATGGGGGCCTTGTTCCTCCGGCTCTTCATTCTGAAAACAGATGTTATTTTGAAGCCCTGTACTTCGAGGTCAGACCGAATTTCCTCGTTGGAAATTCCGTCTGGTAGCCCTCTGATCACGGCCCTCAGCAGCCGCTCGCTTGGGAGAGAGAAGGTGTGAAATTCCTTCCCCTCATCGGCGAGGACACGCGTGAGGCGTCGATAATCATCAGGCGTTTGCGGGTGAATGGCGATGCCTTCACCCGTTAACCTGGCCCTGGTGTAATTTATTTTCCTGTTTGTCAGACTCCTGCTGACCTCCGTCCACTGCTCCTTCTTGCGAAGGATGACAGGCGGTATCCTATCGGCTTTCTCGGCAGGGGCCGCGCGCTCTGATGTCGTCGCTGGTACGATCTCGGGGACCTTCACCTGTTCGGCGACAGGTGCTTCGTTCGCTTTTGCTGGCTTCTTTTTAGCCTTGCAGGACTCCTCCTCGGAACCCGACGAGGTCCCTGGCTTACCTCGCTTTACCCCTTTTGGGGTCTGTTGTCCCTTGAGGGCGTTTAACAGCTCGGCGTGCTGTTCTCGAGACCTCTTTTCAAGGTCGTCGAACGCCTTCCTCTGTTGCCTCAGCTCATCTCTGAGGTCGTCGATCATTTGCCGTAGTCTGGCATTCTCTGCTGCCAGCTCACTCTCACGGCTAGTTGTCTCCACGACCGACCCGGGGGTGCTAGGCCTGCTGTCGCCGGCTTCGCTGCCACTCGAGCGGTCGCTCTCCATGGGGGTCGGAGATCTCGACATAGTGCCCTCCTCCCCGGCACCCGAATCTGAAAAATAAATGCCGGCGGTCTCTCTGCCTAGGCTGAGATAACGTCGGTCGTTAGTAGAAATTTTGCAATATAAAATTGCCGAATTCTTTCTATAGATTGCCTTAATAAAGGCAGAATATTACTTGTCTTGTAAAAGACAGGTTTTGTGGGGCTTCCACTTCACAGTTCCTCGCACTGACACTCACTACTGCACTGCACAAACTACGTCCGCACAGTTCGGCTGCTCGCTTGGAACTAGCTCGCTAGCTCCCGAGCCTGCGTATAGCTCGCTTTTATATGTTTCGGTGCGGTAGAGCTAGGCTCCGCCCACCGCACCGAAAACTCGACCTTATGTGACATTATCATCAAGATATCAATATAGTACCATTTTAATTATACCTGTTTGTCTTGACATGTACATATATGTCTTTATCAGTTCCAACATTTTTCCTGGAATTTGATAAGATCAGATTTAAATTGGAATAAAAGGTTTCTCATATCAAATATCATATATCATCGTAAAGATGGATTTTTTAAACGTTATATATTCGATAGGAAAGTTAGGAACCTAAAAAAATCCTAGAGGAGAGCTTGTATTTCTCCCTCCACCACTCATTATTTTTCATTGATAACAGCATTATAATGAGGGATGTAGAGTTTTTAAATTCATTCTTCGATTTTGTACTTCGGCTGGCTAGTGTCGGTGAGATGTAATTTGCTAGTGAAGAGGGTCACTCTAAACAAATACTAGCTGCAATAATCTAAAAGGACTCCTGCAATCGTTGGTTTGTTTACGACATTCGTTAACGTGAAACATCTTACCATATAGTTACATGCAATTATTAATTTTATGTGAATATCTGAAAAGTTATTTAAGATGACAGAATGTTAGTGAGATACTAAAAAATATGAAATAACAAATAGGTGATAATCATCCTGTATATAAAGATGAAAGAACAAGTATATAAGCAGTAAAGTGGATATGATTCACTTTTTATTCATTTGACTACCCTCTTTCGATCGTTAAATTGCACTATTAAAAATGGAGAAAAATATGTTGTCTTCTTTACAGATGGAAGAAGCAGTAAAATCAAGATTTACTGAATGAGTTCCATTTAAGATGGTAAACTGTAAAGCTTAACTTCATGTATCAATTTTGTCAGCCATGAAATGGAATGAATCAATAAATTTCAGCTTGATTCGAAAGAGGTTCATCGAATATTTAACGAAGAAACATATTTCCTTGAGATTATTTTAACTCTTGGGACAGACTTGACAGTATAATTGTGCAGGTCAAATACAAGTTATACAGTAAAATAAATGAGTGACAGACTCATTTCAGATATTGGTCTTTAACCACATGATTATTATTTTTTTTATACATTTGGACATTTTAAAATTTGATGTCAGAATATTATTCTCCTAATATATTGAAACAGTAAAGGTAAGACATTAAAACAAGCATAAAATGATATGATTGAAGGTATCTATTTTGGGTAAGAGACGGGAAAAATAATGACATCACAATAGATATTCACTTGATATATATTTAGTAATTCTTATGATAACTTACTGCAATCAGCTAACATATAACGTTAATATTAAGACATGCTCAACGTCTATCCTCACCCCCACTTATCCCACACTGAAATGTTTTTTATTGAATATTTTCTCTCTTTTTATTTTTTCCTTGTCACAAACACATATTTAAAGAATATTATTATTTTTTATTGAATATTTTTTCTTTTTTCTTTTCATACTTTTTTAAAGAATATTAATGTTTTTATTGAATATTTTTCTCTTTTTATTTTTTCCTTGTCACACACATATTTAGACAATATTAATGTTTTTTTATTATTATTACTTAAAATTAAAGTGAAATAAAACAAAAATATATAAATTTATTAATTAAATAATATATTTTTTTCCTTAATATATAATATATTTACAAAAAACAATATCTATATACAATACAATAACAAAAAAAAAATTTACAAATAATATTTATTTAACATATATAATGTCTGAGAATAATCCCCAACTAATTTTGATGGCCATTTGCTGCTGTCTGGGCCAGATGACCATCCAACACCTTGACCATTGGTACCCTTGGAGACGTTCTCCTGGAGCCATACCATCAGCTGCCTATGTGTTTCATTAGTTTTTACATTTAATTTAAAAATTAAATTATTTTCTTTAATTACCCGGTGTAAAGTTTCCAAAAAATTATATTGAGTAAAGTAGGCGGCCTCACAAACGGCCTTATCTATTGACCAATCGATTTCTTTGTAATTTAGAAAAATATTTTTTGCCGAGAAACATTGACTATGTCGATCAACCAATGACGGATCACCGTTGACCAATAATTTTTCCAAATAATACCGATTAAATGAATTTAATATTGGATAATGACTCTTTATAATTTGACGTAAAATATCGAGGCTAATATGAGACATATATTCCTTTTGGAAAATATTTTGCAGTTGTTCGATAAATATATCGTATTGAAGTTTTTTGGCAAAGATTTTTTTCATCAACCCGATGTTACATTTATCGCGCAAAGCTAGCCAATATATTGCACGGTCGGGAATCACGATTTTTTCCAGAATTTTGTCAATTAATTGAAAATTATCATCAAAAATGGCTTTTTGAAGGAAATCTTCGTAAGTCTTTTGTGAAATTTTAACAAGTTCGTATTGCAATTGAATGTCTAAGTCGGCCATCGCGAACAACGGTAGAAAGACGAATGATGTCAACGTTTACTATATCGCGCTATTTATTTCGACTTAGAACTCCATGGGAGTGGTCGAACAAGTCGCTGCTTGTTGGAAATTATATCCCCACGGGATCGTGTCTGTGGTGACGTAATTTATTATGCGCTTGTCATCGTACGGACTGAGAGCCAATTTATTTTGTTTAATTGTATATAAATCGTGATGTTTGGAACGTATAAGTCTCTGCTCTTTAACCAGTGTGTTTTGATTAAATAGGCAATTCGTGAAATCTTCGAAAGTAATGTGTTTTACGGCTGATCGAGTAAGTCCTTTGATACGCATATTTGAGGGTTTTCCCTCGACTTTATACGAGTACATTTTAGCTCTGAGCCCGGCATACTCGGTAACTATTCTCCCACAGCTTTCATCTTTCATAAGACCTAGTACTTTTTTGTTGACGCGAGGCATACCGTACGCATTATCTTCGGGGTAGTCTGATGTATCAAACAGCTGGATGTCTCTCTTCATGCTCTCGTAAATGTCAATGTCCGTGAATTCGTATATTAAACTGTCAGTGTCCGTGTACAATAATTTAGCCTGATTGCCGAAATTTTGTTTAATATAATCGTAATGGAAATCGTAAAGTATAATTTTGGAAAGGTCCAGAATACTAAATCCAACATAAATCGGCTTGTTGAACTTAATTTTGAGTCTGTTCATCTCTACTATAACCATGTCTTCATCGAAAATTGTTAAACTGTGAAAATTTGGTTTCGCGATCAAATTTTTTGCCCCATATCGACCCTCCCATTGTGTGACCAGTTTAACATCTTTATGTTATCGCACATTTTCCATGGTTTTACCAAAGACAGAATTATTCATTAATTTATAGAAATTTTTCTCAAATTCGTTAGTCACCTGTCTCCGTAAATCCGTATTTAAATTTATGTATTTTTGTAACCAAGCCGATTGGTTGAATTTAAGAATTTTGTGTACTTTAGTAATCTTTAATCCCCGCTCAATACACCGTTTCAATTGTCTGTAATGGATAACGTAACCGGTTTTCGAAAAAAGTGTTGTCAGTAATTTTGATTGTTTGCCTCCTGGGGGAACCATTTGTTCCGGGCACAGGGGTAAGTCTTTGTGGAGTTCATGAAGTTCGGGCGGGTACTCAATGTCCACTTCTAAAATATAACCAATTTCAGCATCATCTGCTAAATCGGTTATATTCAAGTTGTAGAATTGATCGACGGGTACCCACTCGAATCCCCTGTTGGACGGGGAAGAGACATCGCCGCACCGTATAAGTTGTTTACATCATAGTACATGATGTACTTATCAGATTCATCCGGATTGTATGCCTCACCCATGTACTTGTTGTTAGCCTTTGAGTACCGGTTCGACACTTGGGCTACGCCACCTCGGATCCCCCTTCTCGATCATCAAAACTTTGTCAATGTCCGTCAGTAATTCTAATGTCTGTTTAGTAATTTTGAGCATGGAATCAAAGGCCAGACCGAGGGAGGTATAATAATGTAAAGGCTCAAGACCGTAAGTTTTTAGACAATTTTCCCGGAAATTTTCGAAAATATCTGCCAAAAGTAGAACGTTAGTTTTCAGGTACAAGTCCGAATATTCCCCCAAATTTTGAATATTAAATGTATTTCAGACATTTGTAGCGTGCTCGTACTCGCTGTCTGAAATAGCTTCGTCAGTAAGTTTACTATAAAAATCGTCTTTACGATCGTCCCACGAATTTAGATAATCGTAAGGAAAAACACCTTTCCTAGTCAAAAGGCGGAAAGTCTCCTCCGAATCACAATGAGATTTAGTGATTCTTTTTTGGCTGTCATCGAGGTAAGAGACCAACTTTTCAATTTTGTCAGCCATAAACCGGAAAGAATCTATAAATCTCAATTTAATTCTGGTGTCCTTTACATCTTTTGCGAAGGAAATATATTTTTCCTTATTTATTGGTAAAAGTGAAATGTTGCCCTCAAATGACGTAGCCAAGTGACGTATGATTAAGTGACTGTCGTAAGAAGACAAGCAATGAAAAACGACCGGTATAACGTGACTGTCCGTATAATTTAAGTTACAAGAATTATGACAAGGCCCCCGGTAGACCGAATTTAGATGTGAATGATCCATAATTTTGATATCGAAACTGGTAAACGGTTTTTCGCAAATGTGACAAAATTTCGCGTTGTCATGTTCGAATTTTTGCGCGGCAGTCAAAGGCTCCATGGGCTTCGGGTGAGATAGGATGTTATTCACCTCGTCGGCAATATGTTCAAGTTCCCGGACGAACCACTCCTGGCAATCACTACCCCGATACAATTTAAAACGCGAGAGACTATCATCATATGAACATTTAAGATAATAGGCGACACTAAACGCGGTATGTTTTTGTACATTTCGAGTATTTAAATTTAGATCGTTGTTCTCGTCACACGGTTCCAAAATGCATTCAAAATCTGCATAAACGGCGAACGGTACCCTCTCTTTGAAACGATAATTTTTAAACTGTAAAAATTTTTCTTGCTCACCTGGTAGTTCTACTTTGCAAGTATTTGTTTTATAATTGCAATATATTAAATGATCATCTAAAAGACGCTGCTCTGTGAAATGATTAAGACAACGATTGCAGATGTATTTTTTAGTCTTATGTTTAGATATTTGTTTGGATAATAAACGCGACATGTTTTTTATCCACGCAAAGTGATAAACAGGTGTTTCATCGTCATCGTTGTCGCTATCTTGAACCGAATATGCCGGGACCATTAGTAAATTTATAACTCGTTTGCTATCGCTTTTACTCAAGCATACCGGTAGGACTTCCTTCTTATCAATGCCGTACACATTAATTGCCAAGTTATTTAGACGCTCTAATTTTGGAATTTGTTTCAAAGTTATAGGAAATTCTATGCCGTCAAATTTTAATATGTCACGAAAATCGGGATATGACCAAATTCTATCTGCATGTGCTTTAGCTGGATGTAGAGCAGAGACTATGCTCCATAAAACACAATATTCATCATCATTCTTTACGTTAACAACACACGTTTTGTTTTTAATAAACTCGGGCATCTCGACGTACGTTGACGAGCCCACGGTAATCGGTGAATAATTATTTATATTTACACGTAACCCGATAATTTCCAACAAAGTCCAGCCGCTATTACGATGTTCAAAGTTTTCTAGTTTGTGTAGTATAGGCTGAACAACATTGTCTTCCCACCACTGTTTTATATTTGTACTGCGGTCAATAATTTCGTTTTTTGTCCCGAATGATTTTAAATCTACTTCCCCGTCATTTAATTTTACGAAATTTCCTTCAAAAACTAAATTTACTTTAATTAACGAGTCTTTTAAAGCATTTTTCGCTTTTATAGAAAAACTACGAAATGATTTTTTTAGAAACTGTTTAGGTTCCTTGAGACTAACGTTCACGATGATTCCCGACCGCACACGACTCTTGAAGCACGATTTCACATCTTGCCACACCAAATTCTTCTTGTTGGGACGCACTACCGAACCTCCGGACACTTTATTTTTAATTTTTAGTTGTTTTAGCTGTTCACGATAATATTTCAGCACCGCCAAATTGTTTTCCAAACGGAATATATTCTCGTTCTTATCAATTTTGTGAATTTTAATTTTGATGGCCTCGTTTATTACGCCGATATTTTTATTTATAATTTTGATGTGTCTGTTGATCTCGTCATCGGTCTTCAACAGAGTCAACGATTTTTTGGTCAGTTTAATAATTTTACAGCTGACATCACACACGGTCTCGGCAACTGACATTTTGTATTTCAATAAAAAAAGTTTAACACGACTTTGAAAAGCAAACAAAACAATCACGTGCACTCGAACAAATTTCGAAAGCAAATGAGACCTTTTCACGAGTCCACAGGCTTTTATAGTCGACGCGTTCGGCTATTTCCGGTTATAACCGGTTATTTCCGGTTATATCCAGTTTTGCATCAAAAGCCTCTGAAACGCTGGACAGATAAAGCCATTGCACAACATTATGCAACATTATGAAATATTTCATCACCCGTTTATCTACAAGTTCCCACGCTAGGACCACAGCTACAGGTTGAAACTTGTTTAAAAGCCAGACAAAATTCCAAGAAAAGGGTAATAAATCATGTATTTGTTTACATAACGGTAATATAAACAACGCTTTGGTCACGTATTTTCCAAGAAATATATCTATATATCAATTTCCGAGAAAAAATTAAGGCGCACACCGCCTTTGAAGTTTGTTTACATAACTGCTTAAAAGCCAGACAAAATTCCAAGAAAAGGGTAATAAATCATACATTTGTTTACATAACTGTAATAAAAACAACACCTGTGCCAGAAATGGTGATGACGTCATCATTGTTTTCCAAGAACGTGAGTCATGCCAACCTCTACAATAAAAAATAGCTGCTATTATTTTTTCAAATAATTCAAATGTAAAATCCATTTAAAACATACCTTTCGGTGGACATCCTGTATATGCATACTCTAATAATAGCATAAACTAACCTTACCCAACTTATATTTTATACGTAAATATTCGATTGTCGGCGTAATATTATTTTATGCGATAATAACGATGATTAAATTTTGTTTACTTTATAGTCACGTTCTCATATGAAGCTGGAGAAATATGTTTATTACATTTAAAAATAAATCTTTTATGCATCCAAGAGAGTATCAAAGCAAACGCTAAAACTGAACAACTCTTATGTGTTGATTCGACACGGGATTTATTTTTTTTAAATAATATTTTTACCATGAGTACTTTTAGTCGATTTTTATTTGAAGCCTCCGCTTTTGTTTATATTAACATTTTATCTGATATTAATCATACACAGCTGTGGCCACATTCCAGGAAAGTTACATCATCATGTTGTTGTTATCTTAAACCCACGCGCGCGCGCTCGTTTCTTATATTTTCTACCTTATAACAAAAAGATCCCGCTGCCTCCCCGTACGCCGGCATCGCGCTGCTACCCCACACGCCGGCACCCCGCTGCCGCCCCACGCACCTGCATTCCGCTGCCCCCCGCCACTGCTCATGCATGCACCTGGTGCCGCCTCTGACGTCACGGTCCTCGATGCCGACCTCCTGGTGGTCATTGCCGATAACGGACCCCGGCTTCTTCTTCTGCATTCCGCACCTGCACCCCGCTGCCCCCCGCCGCTGCTCATGCACGCACCTGGTGCCGCCTCTGACGTCACGCTCCTCGATGCCGACCTCCTGGTCATTGCCGATGACGGACCCCGGCTTCTTCTTCTGCAATCCAGATCCCCCACCCCTCGCACCTCACTGACACTTCTTCAGCGTGACCTTGGAGCTGCTGCTGGAGACCTGGTGCCAGCTCCGGATGGCGGCAGCCTGGTGGTAGCTTGGAGTGACCTTGAAGTGTGTTGGTAGCCCCACTGTTTAACTACTGACGCCCGTTATTGCAAATTTTGGAAATTTATATCTGGAAAGTACTCAAAATGACAAACCCATTAGTTAAAAAAACAGCCTTTATATCCTTATAGTTTTGCTGTAAATAAAGGTTAACTTTAACGGGCTATAACTCCAAAAATAATGGGCGGATCATCAGGTTTTTTTTTAAATATTCGTCTTTCCGAGTACTTTCAAACCATATTTTAAAATTAAAAAAAATTGAAAAAACATTAAATTATTGCAATTGTTTATAAGTGTGAAAATTGCGAGAATGACTAATAAACTAGCACTTTTTGCCATTTTTTAAATGATTATTCCGATTTTTGCAATAACAATATTTATTTTTTGGAATTGCAACTAACTCTATCTTGATCAAAATT